GTCTGAAAACAGCGCATTCTCTAACACAGACTTAAAAATCGAATTCGATGCGGTCCCACTGAACGGTGCTCATTCAATCACCGTAAGTGGTAGTGTCCAGTCCAGCAGCAGCAGTAGTAGCAGCAGCAGTAGCAGCAGCAGTAGCAGCAGCAGGAGTGCTTTCAATAACAACAACGAAAGGCTGCCTGCAAGCAGCGAGAAGGAAGAAGTCCCAGCATTACTCAACCATCACTGCAAAACGGTCCTTTTCAGGACCACCATAAATTTGTTAAGAGTATTATTTGGACATTTGTCAAGGTCATCAGTTCCCGCAAGCAGCTAGCTATGAAGGCTCAACCTGGTCTCTATATAAGGTGTGGAATTGTAGGCCCGAATGTATTGGTGAGATTAGTCATCTCATCGTCCGACCATTTTCCAGAACACGCTGGTAGGAAGTGTTAAAAATCCATATATAATTTGAGAGAAGTTAGAATAATTCGCTCTGGGTGTATATTCAGTCCCCAGAAAGCCAATGAAATCAAATTTGTGAGAAAATTAGCTCTCACGAGTTCAATCTCTCGAAGTCCCTCCTTTTTTACAAATTCTGCACAAACGATACTTTCCGCCCCGCCCCATTCATATAATTCGTAAGGAAATCCTGTGAGGGGTGAATTGAATACTCTTTAATACCAAAATGCACAAAACTTAAAAAATTCATAAATAACAAAAAAATTTAAAATACACCTTTTAAAGTCGGATAGATGAATCGAAAATACTCAAGTTCATCAACTTTCTCTTTGAAATAAATACTACAAATTTGATACGCTTACAAATAAAAAACGGAAAGGGTTAAGGTAATTGATGATTGATCAATTAAAAGAACTAAATGTATATAACTATTGTTATTGTATGATTATTGACTGCACGGAAAAGGTCTGCATTAAGCGGGATTTAGATGAGGGAGGAGAGTTGAGTTCAACTCAAACCGATCTGGTCGTAGGCGTTCAATTGACTTGGCAACGAATAGAGCCAAATGAACTGTCCAAGCAAGAGCCATACGAGCAGCGCCTATCTTGATTACATTGGCAGTGTTGCTGACCCTCGCATAGTCTGCATGCTTCAATCAGATTTATTTTTATTGTTCGTGAAGTAACCCACAATGAAAACACACCAATATTTAATGTAACAACAATTTTTATTGTAATAGAATTGTTCATTATTGTTCATGATCGAATCATGTTAACAATAAAATAAATGAAAAATACAATAAAAATTATTGTAACAACATTTTATTATGTACATTCATTGTACAGCTAGGTAGCAGTTTTGCCGTTTTCGGAAGGGTACAACATTATAACAATCATTTTTATTGTCGACAATAAATATTAATGTTAGAGCATTGTTTCCACTTAAAATTTCACTGTATTTTTTTTTTTCGTGGAAGTAATACAGAAATGTTGGAAGGTCGACGAGCACCCGACCGTCTTAAGATGGTTGATCAACGACTCCCGAACATCGCTGACCGGACACGTTTCACCAACCGAAGGTGGCATGAACCCAAGCCACGTATTGTATGGGACGTGAGACGGCAAAGCTGGAGATCCCCCAGATATAGTGCGTCCCATTGTGCAGGAATTATTTTCAAACCGGTTCAATCGTGCTTCGGTTATCTACACTGACGGATCAAAGTGTGACAACGCAGTAGGTTCAGGGGTATTCTGTGGCAGTCTACATAGTGCAATAGGCCTTCCGTCACAGTGTAGCGTTTTTTCGGCGGAGGCCTTTGCTATCAAATTGGCTCTTAACACGGGTACATCAAACGAATTGGTCATCCTGTCTGACTCAGAAAGTTGCCTTTTGGCCATAAAGAGCGGTAAGTCACAGCTTCCCTGGATCCAAGAGATCAAAGAGCTGTTAAGAAACCGCCTGATACAACTTTGTTGGATTCCCGGCCACGAAACGAAGAAGCAGATCGACTCGCCGGTGAAAAAAACAACAGTCGGCCACTCATCGTCGACATCCCGAGGAAGGATGCCATCAAGGCATTGAACAATTCCATGCGTCTGCTATGGGAAGAACGCTGGGCGCAATTAACGAAAGTCAAGTTGAAAGAGGTTAAACGCGAAACCAAAAAGTGGACTGACCAGCAAAGTTCCACCGACCAGCGAGTGTTCACTGAACTGCGCATCGGCCATACAAGGCTTACACACGAGTTTTTGCTGAAAAAAATATCACCACCGGTTTGCGAATGCTGTGGGATTGTCGCGGATGTCCGCCACGTGATTTTACACTGCAGGAAGTTTGAAACAGTCAGAGTGCAATACGATATTGAATCAACCTGCCTACATGCGGCGTTATGAAACGTTGCTGAAGTTTTTGCAAGAAGTCAATATGTATCGAAGAATCTAAAGGAGAAACAGGAACTGAGAAGACGATGAAGAGAAAACAACAGACGGAACGGATGAAACGTGGTCAAGAAGATGGAAGAAGATGAAAAGGAAAACAGGATGGAAGCTGACGAAGAAGATGACAAAAGAAAATGTAGCAACTGAGAAGATGATGGAGAAGAAACATAAGAAGACCAAGCAGAAGAAGATTAATGGAAATGTAACTAAGTGAAAATCAATGATAAAAGGCAAAGATGATGATGAATAAGACGAATGTTCGTAGAAGGCAAGAAGAAGACACGGATTCAAAGTGAATGAAGAAAATTACGAAGGAGGTGTAAAGAAGAGAGAAGTAATTGAAGGAAAACAAGCAAAAGAAGACGATAAGAGGATTATAAAGATGCAGACGAAGCAAAGCGGAACCGAAATTGGAGCAAAACTAAAACATGGCGGTTAGTAAGAAACGCACGAAGGCTATGGAGAAAACAAAGATGATGAAACAAGAAGATAACGAAAAGATAGAAGAAGTAAAGGTGAAATTAATAGAGAAGAAGACGTGAAACAAGAGATGAAATGAAATTATCAAGCGACGATGAAACAAAACCAGAAAGAGAGGAAACGACCGAAGGAGACAAAAGCTACTAAGTGCCTGCACAATATTATACTCAAACACTGAAACAGACACGAATGCATCAGCAGTAGCCTCAAGTCCCAGTCACGGAGCAAGGAGTGGATCAATTGGAGGTATAAGATCTCTGGAAGGTGGTAACATCATCGTTGCTCAACCCACGTCCAAATATGTATTCTGGATCTACCTCTCGAATTTCCATCCGTCCGTGAAAGCTGATACCATATCACCATATTTTGGTCACCGGAATATGCCGGAGTGTAAAATAGGTGGTGTAGAACTTAATATGGAGTAGATTGAAGTTGATGTTGAGTGATGACAGCTTATCAATAAACGGAGGCAAGTTGATCACTTTTCACCGATAACCTGAATATGTTTCCATCCATATGATTATTGGCACCCAAAAAAAATAGCTCTGAAACCTGTACTAGCAAATGCTTTTCTAGTGTACGAATTTTGTTTTTAAATTGCATGTTTAGTTTATTTTTAAGAATTAAATTAGATTAAAAATTCACAGTTTTAATTATGTGGTCAGCGGATCCGGTGGTGTAGTGGTAAGCGTATTACCTCTCACCCCAGCAGGCCTGGGTTCAATCCCAGTCAGCGCCGCCGGGATGTTCTGAGGCATAACATCTCTGATCACGCCTTTCTTCGGAAGGGAAGTCGATAAAATAAGATCGACGAAAAACAAATCAAGAAAAAAAAAATTCTGCGGTGAAGTTGGTCTTATAGATTTTATGTAATGCAGTATTCAGAAGTAAGCATTTATTTATTTTTTATATCTTTATTAAGGAGACTTTCAGCCCTGGTTTGGTTCGTCTCCTACATTTATTTTTGATTTGTGTACGAAGAAGAATAATATGACGTTAAAATTTTGATTAAAGTCGAGTATTAGTACAAGACACTGAAGAAGTCTGCGCGTTGTAAACGAAATACGCGTATCTGTCAAGGATACACGGAAACAAATCCGATTCCATTTTCATGAATAAAAAATCATGAAATGAAAAAAACTTGCCATCCCATGAAATCGTAACAATGATTCATGATTTAATCATGGAAATTCATGATTTCATAATGCAGTGGAATCAAGACCGCTACAAGCGTTACACGTACTTGGCAAACCGTGTTCATAAACCACACTACATAGGTATCTCTTATACGCCTTTTGTCTTTCATCTTATACAAGTACTGATAGTCTAGTGGTCAAAGTGTGGGTTTAATGATCTCAAGGTTCTTGGTTCGAATCCAGCCTGATTCTTTATTTGATAATTTTTACATTTTTTGGTTAAAATATAAATCCATGAATTTAGGCTCATGATTTCAACTCGGATGATTCATGATTCTGGGCATGTTTGCTGCATTACGCAAAAATTGCTCATGATATCATGAATATTATTCATGGTGTATTTTCATTACATGAAAATACGCTGTGTTCATGAAATCATGAGTCATTTTTCTCATTTCGGAGATCGGATTTTTTCCCGTGTAAGCCAATAAGGTAGTGGAATTGAATGGAAATTACTAATCCTTGTCTATTCTTTTAAACACGTATTCCACTAAGGCACCCACATTCATCAGGGTTAAAAATTCAACAAAATGCATATTATGTTGCAAATAGATAAAAATACGCCTGAAGGCAATAAACATCAGTTGTCACATAAAATCAATGTCATGATACTAAATCGTTCATTTCAACAAAATCTAATTTCAGTTCCGGATTCAGTGACCCAAAATTAAGTAGAATAAATAAGTGATTTTGACAAACATTGTACCAGAACAAATGCAATTAATTCAAATAAAAAGTTGTCATGTTTCCTTATAAAAAGTTGATAGGCCCTTTTCAAATGATATATGAGACTACGTTTAAAATATTTCAAAACCAATTCTATCCAACTGATGTTGCCCCAAAAATTTGCACCTGAAATCGTGTGAATTTATCTCAATTCTAGAGTTTGCTATGTATCACAGAAATTTTTGTAACTAAATGTTATCTTTTATCTACTTACCATATCTTGCCTGAAACCTGTCTTGAGGTACAGGTACATTCCCAATGCCATTATTGTTTCTCGCAGCGCATACCAATTCCTTTTCATCTGGCGCTTCGAACTTCTGCAAATGCAAAGAAAGAAGCATTCGACACATGAACAGACCTTATCAGCACGAGAAGATCATACCGGTTGTCGTACAATACGCTCAAATGGACAGCATTTAAAGTTCTCATGTCGGCATTCTTCGGAACTGCAACAATCGAAAAATACAAATCTTCATTCTAATCATTCAAATCCATTTGATACTACCTGAAAAAGTTTAGATGGACATCATCGTACACATTTTCGCTCACAGGTCGACACAGTTCCGGCGGGATGCAAAGCCCGCCCAAACATTTCTGGAAAACAATCACAGTCATCTTATGTAAGGATGCGTTGAAATGAAACAGCTAACTCACCCGATTAGCTGGAACTGTTACAAAGAGTTGCAACAAGGTCACCAGCGGTAACAATCGAAGCCGCATCTGTTCGTGAACGGACGGCAAAGATGGCACACTCGGCTTATCGTTAAACTGTTGCTAGATGCCCCTGTGTTTGGCTCTTAACACGCATTTTCACTGTACAGGTCTGCAGAATTAGGCCAAGCGCCGGTAAAGTATTCTGCATCAGCGCGTTTATATGCACAGCCTCCACGAAAATAAAAGGAAGCAAAACTCGACCACCCAATCACAGAACGCTCGCCGCAAATACTTCCGCTTTGGATGCAATCGCAATCTGGTTTGACACGTTTTTGCCGTGCTCTCTCCCGAGCAGTTGCCAAACAACTGAATCGCTCGAGAGAGAAAAATGTCGTGCTGTGTGTGGATGTAAATAATCACAGTGGTGTTTTTATTTACTGGGTAAAACTTAACTGTCATGATCTCGTGAGTATAGTCACATTTGATGGTTGAAAACGGAATTGAAGAATCAATTTTAAATATAATTTTGTAGTACAATTTTGGGTAAATTATTAGATTAGAAACGTCAAAGCTTCATAAAAGAAAATAATCAATATTATTGACCAATGGAGAAACGAATGACACACGGTTCAATCACACAATGTTTAAATTGGCATGCGGTGGTATACACAAATTCTTATCAATGTTTGAAGTGTTCATTGAGTGAATATTTTAATGTTACTCTACGTCAATGTTTCTTTAGGAAGAGGTACAGATGATCGAAGGCGTGTTCAAATCGTTATAATGACGTCAAATATTTTGTAGAAATTTGTAGATTCTCTCGCCAACTGTTACCAACTTCATACAATAAATCCACGCGACACTTTAGTAGTTCAGCTTCCATTTGATTCAATTTTCGCGATGGAAACTAAAAACGTAAGACATCATGATTTCGTGGCTATTGAAGTTGAGGTGCGATTTTTAATAAACCGGATTTTCAACGACGTGCATCCTTGTGCCAAAGCAAGTGAATAAAAACATCAAGCGCAAGTTTACGAATTGTACCGGATCGGTTGCAAAAACACGAAAACTCTCAACCGGTACAATTCAGCCGGTATCACTCTCATCGGCAGCTTTCAAGACGCCTTTAAAACTATTTTACGACATCATTATTGGCCGTTAAAGCACATTTAATATTCATTGGAAAACATTACAATTTGTTATGGCTAACGTAATCGGTCCAGTTTTTTCGAAGGAGTATCTCGCTTACAGTATAGTTTGGTTCGTCGCTTGATACCTGTCGTAGGTTGTTAGTTGATCTAAGTTGATCTACTTTGATCCGCATGACGCAATGTAGATCCTCGCTTATGGTGATTTTTGACGGGCATGTTTAAGTAGGTATTCATTAAAACCTTTAACCCTCCCCGTGGACATGGAGGTTGACGGTACTGAAGCAAAGGGTTATGTTTAGTTTCTTTATATTTGCAACTATGATGATTTCCCATAGCATTCATAGCCTTCATAATGCTTCAGTACTTCTACTGAGCAGAAAATCATCATCCCAAGCTCCCCGTCATGACTCTTTAAATGCATAATCACTAAACAGAATGAATATTTTTTTCGATAGTCGGCTATCGAGAGATTAAATGAGCAATACATAAACAATATACTTTTGGTTGCATCGCCAGCTTGAGGTGAATCCTAACCGAATATCCTGCCCCGTAACGTGGGTAGATCACCTTTTCGTGGTACGTTACGGGATGTAAGATCTACCACCGATTCCTAGTCCTAACTTCTTCAAACTAGGGGAACAGGATTTTTCAGTAATCAAAGGAACACATCTTAGTCCTTGTTACTTTTTATGCCTTGTTGATAGTGATAAGTCCTCGGGTTGCCTGGACCGAGGATGATCTTGAAACAAGGAAAAAATGAGTTAGTTAGTCTTCACCTATGTGATTCCTAATCTTCTAATCGTTGTTCCCTAGTTTGAAGTGGTTAAGACTAGGGTTCTGATGCATGGTCATTATCGGTGTCATAGCTTGTTTTTGTTGTGAAGGAATCCAATTTTGACTGACAAAGGGGCGCGCCTTTGGAGGGTATTCCAACTCCGAAGGGTATAAATAGCGGAACCTTTCAGTTAGAATCGATTCCTTGCGATGAAGGCAAGAATGACAACTGTATCAAAACCGAATACTTCATCATTTCTCAATAGTGATGGAGTAATACGACATGCACTAAACTAAGGACACGGGATATACTACAATAGATCAAATTACTGGTCGCAGTGGTGTTATGTCCCGAACAGAGGAAAAAAAAAAAAAAAACCGTTAACATTTTTCTAGCTTATTTATTAGATTCCATTGTATTGCTTTACAATATTGCTGAATAAAGGTGATTAGAGTAAGTATAAAAGAACGTGGCGTCCAGTGACCAGAGTTTTTTATGCCTCAGAAAAATGCCACTGACCTCTGCTGAAATTGAACCCAGGCCCATTGAGGTGAGAAAGCAGTCACGCTTACCACTACACCACCGGCGCCGGCTGACAATTTATTTACCTACAGCTTCTTTCAGATGTAATTTTGATCAGATAAGCCGTTTTCAAGTTATGATTTTATTCAAAATTAAATCGATCGTAAAATAAACCTTTCAAAAGAGTTACTTTTGAGAGAAAAAAACTTATTCAGATGAAACCTTGGGTAATAGTCAACATTTGAGCTACGTTTCAATCAAATCAGAGACAATCATGTCCAACCGGTTTGCGGTTTGAGATTTAATACTTCTCTCTTTTAACTTACAGTGCAATATTTTGAAATCTGCTCTATCTAGCCTTTTTTTAAGATGGCCGGTTTATGAGGCATGTGTACCTACACGAGCACTCTTTCCACAATATAGCTGAAGAGCTCACCGGTTACAGATTCAGAATCTCACCTCTTTGAAATTTAATTGTTGGTCTATTGTCTGCTGAAGTAGAGTTGTTAGGGGGAAATGGTGTAAAACGCACCAGCGGGATAATACGCGGCACCACGATATTTCACTTAATACCCAACGAACAATTTAACTGCAGATTACAGCAAATTTTTGCCCGCAAAAGCTAGCCTGCAGGTAAAATCGTATGTTGGGTAGGACACTTTGATTATGTTTTTATTGCACCAACAGGTAGTATTTTGGGATTAAAATCTCAAATTGTACTCACTTCAAAAAAGTAAAACTAAAAGTTGATATGGCTGCCTTACGTTGTAAGATTTGTTCAATTTGTTTGTTGTAAGCGTTTTGATAGGAAAAAATAAGAGCATTCTAAACATTCGACATACACACTTAGAAATTTCTACAGAAATCTGTAAAATTTTACCGAAATATCAACAGCTGAACGTTCGGTAAATAGTTTCACAGATTTTCGGTACTTTTTCACAGATATCTGTAAAAAATAACAGGAAAACTGTAAAACTGTTTACCAAACGTTCAGCTGTTGAGATTTCAGTAATATTTTACAGAAATCTGTGAAAGAATCTTACACACTAAGATTTTTTTGCCGAGATGGGCACCACCGAGAAGCTCGGCATTTTATTTTGCTGGAAAATCAGCAAAAAATATGTTTGTTAGCTGAGATCTCGGCAAAATTCCCGTTTGTTAGCTGAATCTCGGCAAGTTTTTCACTGAGATCCAGCAAAATAAAATGCCGAGCTGCTCGGTGGTACCCATCTCGGCGAAAAAATCTAAGTGTGTAGTGTGTAGGGGAAATGAATGTAATGTCGGCCTAAATGTCTCTAATTTGGGCCCATATATAAATTCAGTAATCGACTAAAAATTCATCTAGATAAAATTGATAAATAACAGATTGTTTAGCGATGGGCCCAATCTTAGATTCATAGGTCAACATTAGAGCCATTTCCCCAAATGAATCAACTTGTTGCGTTGCCAGCTAAACAGAATGTGTTTCGAACACAAATTAGTCTTTTTAATGTACGAAGTTCTGAGTGAGGGGGATGGTGGGGAAATATGCGCCGTGTGGTTTGGTAACTCGTAAACAGCCGTTCAAATTATGAGTTACAAATAGTGAGAACCTTTTAAAAGTGTTCTAAATGCAACCAAATTTACACTTCCTGCGATAATAACGTACGGATAGCGCATAAATGTATGCAACTTACATAACACCAAAGGCACCTCAAAGGAGATTAAAATTTCGGATAGAGAAGAATCAACTTTCGGGCACCCAATTTTGTATATATTTTTCAAGCTATTGACGATAGTAATCACGATATAATCTCATTTTATTCGTTTATTATACCTTCGTTATACTTGTTTTTTCCTTGATTTATTTTCCGTACTGAGTACCAATGCTACCGACGCCAGGGAGGCAGCTCCCACACTTGGACCCTACCTATCGGCCCATAAACTCATGAACCGGGGACCAACGGCTTAACTTCCCTTCCGATGGAAGGCGTGATCAGAGATGTTATGCCTCAGAACATCCCGGTGGCGCCGACTTGGATTGAACCCAGGCTTGCTGGGGTGAGGTATAATTACGCTTACCACTACACCACCGGCGCCGCTATGAAATTAAGAAAAAAATAATAAAACTGTCTTGTCACTCATGAATGACATCTTCTCACAGTAAAAAAATTAAAGGGTTGTGTCCTAGACACGACCGCAGTATGACGTAGAACCACACAAAATTGATGTTTTTCATACATTTTTGACTATTATACTTTATCTTATAATTTTCAAGTATTTCAATGTTTCGGTTATGGTTGACTCTAAACAATTTACACATTTTTCTTGACAAATATCCATGTGAACTTCCACATGATTTTCATTTGACCACGATAAACAGAATCCACTCAGAAGTACACATGAAATTTATACGCAAATGAATAGTATGTGTGGTCACGCATGGTTTTTATATGTACATATATTAAGTATGTGGCCGACACATAGATATTGATTTGTTGATCACGTTGCAACAACTCATGTGTGGGATTTGAGTGGGGAGGGGGTGGTTAGGAGAGGTTGTTGATGAGTGGGGGGGGGGGGTTAGGAAAGTTTGTTGATAAGTGGGGGGGTAGGAAAGGTTGTTGAGGGGTGGGGAGATTGTTGTGAAGGGGGAGGGAGAGAGGTTGTTGTGAAAGGGGGAGGGGGTTTATATACATTACACTTTTCCTCATTGTAGTCACGCCGTGATCCGCCTTTAGCCGCTGATTTGGTCCTGCTTACTGCAGGACCAAGTGCCACGCCGTCCGAAGCGAAAATGAGCAAAAGCATGACAGCAGCGCTGTTTTATATCTTTTTCGGTTTAGAACCTGATAGGATTTCCCGCCGTTTTTTATGAATGGGGCGGAGCAAAAAGTTTTTTTTACAGTCAGTTGTTGGTAATT